AGTTACAAAAAACGCCAACAAACGCGTTTTCGTGCGTTCTTTTAATGAGCGTTAATGGCTTACAATCGCGGTTCACGATTGTGCGTTTAAACGCGTTTTTCAAAATGTTTGTCTGGCTGGGTAGTTACAGATGGAAGAGTTGATTATATTGATGAAACATTTCTGTCTGTCTTTGCAAGGACAGTAGCGATCACAAGTGTATAAGAGGCTTGAATATTATGTATTGTCGTGTAATGTCAAGTTCAAAATTGGGTGAGGCTCAATGGCTCCTCCGCCCTTAGTTCTTGCTGTTTTTGTCGAACAAAACTGCTACTATAGATCGAAAGAAAACTAAAATAGTTACTTCTGTTTATACCTAAAGGAAAAATAAGATGATAGATGGATCCAATATTTTCCGAAGGAACTATTCATCATCTTAGTGGTTATCGAGCTTCAGCTCAAGATTGAATACTGGCCTAACAGAGAGTTTTTCTCATTTCATATTTTAAGTGTTTCATATGATTTTATATCAACAGATGTTCTAAAATCTACTCTTTAGAATAACATTTGCAAAGTTAACTTCAATATAACTTACTATTCAAAAATAGCTTGACATTTATCATTAGGACAAATCATACCGGCTGTATTTAAATACTTTGTAAGTTGTACTTCAGGATCATCGGGATCATTCTCTGTTAACCACTCAGCATAAGCTTCGCATGTTATTCCATTATGTTCATTAAACCACTTGAAAAAAGAAATAGTACATTCAAAAAAAAACATCAAGCAATATTTTTCATTTACTTTTCGACAACATTGTTGGCATTGCTCAAACCGACAATGTGGACATTGAGCACGAGCAATTCGATCATTATTATTAGTGAGATTAAAAAAGCTAGGACACTTAAACAATGACAAGATAGATACAAAAAAAAAGGAAAAATATATAAATAAACATACTCGTGGATTACCACATTTTTTTACTTGTGAATCTCGTGTTGCTATAAATAAATTTTCTTGATATTTATCAAGAACAAGTCTTTCATCAGTAAACCATTGGTTCAACTAAATAGTTTAAATAGAACAGTTTTTAGAAGAAAAAAACACAATTTTTTATGAAATTAAATCATCAAAATATATTAAAAACTATTGTAAACTTACTTTCGATCCTAAATATTGAAAAAAATTCAATTTTACATCATCTGAAATTTCAAGTTCCTCTTGAAAACAAGCTAATTTTTTTAATGCATGAGAATCTCTAATCTCTTGAACAGTCATTCGATAATAGTCTTTGGCACAGCTTAAACAACACATATGACTACATAAGTACATTGTCTCCATTCGACTACGTGGAAAAGACTCAGCACATATTGGGCACTCCGTCGATAAATATCTAATAGCATTATCTTGAAAATTTTCATGTATCGCTGTATTACTACTTGAACATAAAATATCTCTAATATCAGCCATACTAAGATATTGAAGACTACTAGATGATACTTTGCATAAACAATATGCAAGTAGTTCAATTTTTAGTGCTAATTGTTGGCCAATAACATTTGACAGTTCACTATAGATCAATCGATACATTTTCTAAAGATAAAATAGAAAGATTTTGATATATCACAAGAAAATAATATTTTTTCATACCGAAAGAATATTTTCATCAACTTCTTCAGCATTATA